AAGTTAATATTAACTTTTTGAACTGAATTGGACTTAATTGTTAGGGGTTTTGTGGCACATTATGAGGTTTCCTCTATCTGGCAAGGCAAAATGCAAAAAGTCTTCAAGGAGAGAGAGAAAAAAAAAGCACCGCTAAGTAGGTTTGTGGTAGAAAAGTGAAGATGCCATTATGAAACAATTCCAGTTATTCCTGTTTCAGATATAGACTCTACTTATAGAAGAATCAAGATTCAAATTTTTTATATATGTCCCTCCATTTCAAGCAGAGCAGTAGGATAGTTATGCTACACTCTTGAATGGGAGGCAGTTTCTCTCACACATTCTCTCTCTTCCTCCTTCTCTCCCTCCTCTCTTTCCCTCTCCCTCTCCCCCTCTCCCTCTCCCTTCCCTTTCTATCTCCCTCCCCCCTCTCTCTCTGCCCCATCTCTCTCCCCCCTCTCTCTCACACACAGGCCTAGGATAGGGTTTTCTTTTGTGCGTGGATGGGGCTACACTATCCAGAAATTATACTAAGCTGTGTCTTCTCTGGCAATGCAAAAGCAATTAAGAAATTAAACCTTGTTCATAATTTTCTAGTGCAGTGTTACATATTTAGACTTCCACCTTACATGTTAAAAAGTGATTTCTGCAGGAAATTTTTTTGCTGCACATGGAGGATCCCTTCTTAAACTTTCTAAATTGCAAGGACGACCTCCATAAATTGAAACAGTTTCCACTTCAAGAGAGCTTTTATCTTCTCCGGCCTTTTAGCTCTGTCCTATTTTTATTGCTATGTTTTGTTTATAGTGGTTCTATCTATGTGATGTTCTTTGATTTTGTGCTTGGTCTTTGGTACTTTATTGATCACTGAATTTATTTGATTCGTTTTAAATCCTGTTCTTAATTGTGTGATTTTATTTAGGTTGAGCATTAGTTATAAGATGACTAACAAATCGTAGATTTTTTAAAATCTTTATGGAACAAAACAAGTATTCATCAGATACTTTTTGTTTTAATGTTGCTCCTTTGCATGAATGACATTTAAGGAAGACTGTAGTAGGATTTGAGGTGACTTTTAAGATAAAAGTAATATAAAGGCTTAGTTTAATGGTGTGAGAGTAAAGAGTAGAGGAATTTTGGGTAAACTATACCTAACAGAGTTAGCTTTCCCCCTTAAGAGTTTAATTTGTCCGCATCTTGGTAGGTAGGAGTTCTTAGTTAATCTTTTATGGACTTGGAAGCTAAAAAGAGTGGTGGAAGCGTACTTATATGGGATATTCCCCAGGAAATAAAAGGATTGTAGTCCAGATTGAAAAGTCAAAGAAAATGTAAAAAAAGCAGTGGCAAATCATGTCCAAATGATTGCCAAGAAAATCTCCATGGAATCACCAGCCAGTTAGAAGGTGGCAATACTTGTCTGACCATGGAAAGTTTGGACTTCGTTAGCACTTGGATGAGAGACCTCCTGACATATTATATTATGGTAGCTATGGAGTACCATAAACTAACCTCAGAAGATTATATGTGTGTGTGTTTCTATATGTACATGTATTTATGAATACAATATAATAATCTTGGAGGAAAGCCATGGTAGACCATTTCCTTTTTGGGATGTATCAAGTTGAAGTCCAAACTTTCCATGGTCAGACAAGTATTGCCACCTTCTAACTGGCTGGTGATTCCATGGAGATTTTCTTGGCAATCATTTGGACATGATTTGCCACTGCTTTTTTTACATTNCAGTGTTTCTCAACCTTGGCAACTTGAAGAGCTGGGGAATTCTGGGAGTTGAAGTCCGGACATCTTCAAGTTGCCAAGGTTGAGAAACACTGGCTTAGATCCTTATGGGCCCAAGCCAGTTTGTGTTGAATGAATGGCAGATCATGCAGTATGTAGTATAACATGCAGCTGTAGTAATGCACTTTGCTCCTTCTATTTTTCAAATCATAAAGTATGCAGCAGCAGCTCCGTTTTGCCTGCAGCATATTGATGGAATAACTGAATTTATATCTTGCTGTAATCTCACAACTCTTTGACTATTTTGATTTATTTTGTTTTGCTTGATTTATCGGATTTACATGGCAAAGAAGCAAGAGAGCATCAGTGATTGTCTTAAGGCCAAGAGAAGTAATGTTGATGATGAATTCAGAATCAGTTAAATTCTGTAGAACCACATTTTTTTTTCTTTGACATTTGGAAAAACAATAAAGGCCTCTTGCATGCAGGAAAATGTCCAATAACTCCAATTATTTTAAAGGTAACTGTCTTAGTTTCTGTTTTTTTTTAGGATGGTAGTAATGGAGTTCTATGGGAAGAATGATCTCACCTTAGGAGTATTTCTAGAAAGATATTGTTTCAGGTAAGAATATTTGATTGTAAACTATCATAAAAATAGGCTCAGTATATTTAGGGGATTGTTTCACAGCATTCCATGAAAACATTTCATTCACATTCTATGAAGGTTCCAGCTATGGTATATTTCTGATGCAGTACCAAGGTTCATTTTGATGTAGTGGAGATATTTACTGGGAGTGGTTTTTTGTTTAATTTGCTTCATCAATCTGGATTTTTATTAGAAAGATACATATGACTATTTTATCATGTTCCTAGTAAAAGAAAGAATTAAGAGGGAAAGAAATACTGTTTATTCAGTCAGTGACCAGCAAAATCTGAAAATACACAATACAAAAATAAACTTAAATGAGATAAAATACTAAGAAAACATACATCTATAATAAAAATGTCACATATGCTATCATAATAGCACCTGTGCAAGTGTAAATCTAAAGTAATATAGTTTGTGACTCACCTAATATCAGTTAAAGCCAGGGGTGGGTTTCAACCGGTTCGCGGCGGTCCCCGCGAACCGGTTGGTTGGCGAACCCGGAAGTAAGTAAATTCCGGGAATGGCGAAGGGCGCATCCACCTGCCCGTGCTCCTTACCGCGCTCTTTGAAGGCTTCTGCGCTTCCACGCAGGCGCATGGCACATACAGCGCCTGCGCGAGTCTCTGCGAGCAGCTGGAGCATCGCACAGGCGCTAAGACGCATACGTGAACTGCGTGCGTGCACGAGGACGCCGCCAGCCCCGTTACAACATACCGGTTGGAACGGGATGAGCAACCCACCACTGTCTTATAGCTACTATTTTCTGATTTCATTCTTTAAAAGTCTCCTTTAGACTCTGATAGTTGATCCTGTCATAGGTGATAT